TTGGTTAGTCTTGGCTGGACTTGTCCTGCTGGTACAGATCAGGCTGGAGCAGAGAAGGCCTCACACAGTGATATCGAGAAAGGTCGACAGGACTAGGGAGAAGGTGTCTTAGGAGGTTCCTGAAGGGAACGTGGTCACAGATGGGCATGACTCAAGCAGAGTCATGGGGTTTGTTTGTTTTTTCATCTTTGGCCCAGAAAAAATCCCTAGGATTAATAAAAAAGGGGAGTTCTGTTTTACCTAATGGAAAATTCAACCCTCCCCCCAAAAAGTGTTACCATTTTCAGTGTCAGAAATACTGGTTAAGCTGAAGAGTTTGGTTTAGCCATACGCTGTGCTGCTCCACACTCCTGCTTCTCTCGTTTAGCCCCCAGATTATCACCGTGAACATATTGTATTGAGTCAATGAACATATTGCAACACTTATATTACATGCAAATGGGCAGCGTCTGCCTTGCCTTGCCCGCATGTGTACAGGAGAACAGAAATGATGAGGCACTTTTCAGATGCTATTCTGTAATCAGGCCTTGAATAGTCAAATTAGGTGTTGTGGGGTTTTTTCTTTTTTTTTTTTCTGGTGCCTCATTTGCAGCAACTTGACAGGAATCAGGTACGCAAAGGAATGACAGAAAGGCTCCCAGAGCTTTGCATCCACACTGCATTGTTTGATTCCTGCCTGAACACCTGCTTTAAGGTGCAAAATCGTACTCTTTCTTCGCATAAATTAGATCTTTCACATCTTGCTCCTTTGATTTTCCACTCTTAAAAAGAAGAAATAAATAAAATGAGCTCTTTCTGCTGCTTCCCTTTGCCAGGTTAATGTTCTTTTCACCTGTCTCCACAGAGAATGCGAATAAACTGGAGGAGAGTGCGAGAGGCATCTACATCCCTTGTCCAGAGCACTACAACGGCTTCTGCATGCACGGGAAGTGCGAGCACTCCACCAATATGCTGGAACCGTCTTGCAGGTGACTCTCTCCCATTCCCGTTTTGCACCTGTAGCTGCGAAGTGTTGCAAATGCAGAATGTTAATGGCTTCTAAAAGCGCTCGCTTAACCTGCGGTTGCGTTTAGGTGCTTCTAAAAACACAAAGTGCCAGGTGTTGCCAGGTAGGCAACCAGGTAGGCTGAAGCAGTGAGATGCCACCTAGCAGCATGTCCCCACCATGACATGGCTGATGCTTGTAGGGCAAAGAGGGGAGGAATGAAATGGAGGAGAAGGATGGAAGACTGAAGGCCACCATGCCACCAACCCTTCTGAGAGAAGACCCAGTCAGTTTGGCTATGTCTCTTACGGTTGCTGCTACTGTTCACCTGAAAGACCTTGCTCATAGCTTCATCCCACTTGGCCTTTCCAGCAGAAGCAAGACAAGGGCTACTTGGGCCCAAGACAACGTGGGGCCACTGCTTTTGGCTGCCCACGATGGGGAATCGCAGAGGTGACACAGTGGCCTCAGGAAGGCGAAGCAGTGAGCAGGCAGCACGGCGATGCTGGAGAGATGCACCATCCACAGAGGGTTGGGCTTTATAGCACCCAGACTAAGTGTAAATGATGCATCCACTCGCAGGAACGCCTGATCACACTGTATATGGAGCTCAGATGATTGCTCATCACCTCCTTCGAGGATTTCTTCCATAGGTCTTAAAAAAAAAAAACATAGCTAGAAGGTAACTGGAACAAATGGTTCTTCATTTCAGATGTGATGCCGGCTATACTGGGCAACACTGTGAAAAAAAAGACTACAGCGTTTTATACGTGGTTCCAGGTCCGGTACGGTTTCAGTATGTCTTAATAGCAGCCGTGATTGGGACGATCCAGATTGCTATCATCTGCGTTGTGGTCCTCTGCATTACCAGGTCAGTAGCGCGGCTGCTTTTTCTTGTTTTTTCTTTCTTTACGAATTGCTTACACAGATTTCTGCAGGGACAGAAATATTTCTGCTGATAACAAATACCATTTAGTTGGCACACACAAAAGAAAAGAAGAAAGTATTGCCTGGCCCTACTGGCCAGTGTTGCTTTATTATTATAACTGTATTTGTGCTTAACAGTTTAATCAAACTTAGGTGGCAACAATACCTACTGCAAATGAAGTTTCCTCTTCTGTATTCAGGTGCTTGGACAAATATTGTTGATCTCAATAAGGGGAATATAAACACAGCAGCTGGATCAGCACTTGCTTAATAAAACTAATCATATCTTCATCCAGTTTCCTCAAGGGCGATTCCCGGAGCCCTCATCAGGCAAAGCATGCAAACTTTTAAGCCTGTTTGCATTCCCGTTGATTAAACGATTTCATTAGGCTTGTGTGTGTGTGTGTGTGTGTGTGTGCATATATATACATATATATGCATATACATATAAATATATGTTCTAAGGGTACTACATGTTTAAGTCCTTCCCTGGATGATGGCACATCTAGCCATGTATGCTTTTTTGTTGTTGTTTTTTAATGGAAATTTGGAATGGAAATGCCAGCCCCAAGGTAGTTGAGAATAAGAGGGATAAACACAGTCCTTTCCCTCCTGCAAGTGCCACTCTCCTTCCCTGCTAAGCTGATTTTCTTGTCTGCAGAGGCTTCTGAATTCCACCTTCTTCAGGCTTCTCTCAGAAATCACAGGCTAGGCACACTCAGCACTGATAAACCCTTCTTTTGGAAATAAACTGCTTTCAAGAATTCAGGAAAATAAAAACCAGATACCAGATTTCCATAGAAAATAAAATCTCTAGGAAATTCCGATGCCTATGTTGCACTATGTGGCTGGAGGACAAGTACAACCCCTGGTAGCCTCTTGCTCAGCTGATATTCTTTAAGATCACTGAGATGTTAATGTAAATTGCACGGCTGTCTTACCTTTTCCCTTGCACTTTGTAACCAAGTTTATTTATGATTTGAGGCTCTTTTTTCCTGTAGTGCACATAATTGCATCCATGTGATGATGCATTTGCAAAAGTACACACATAAGCAGCCTAAGAAAAATCCATGGGACAGACAGGGCTTGTGCCTGAGTAACTGAGTATTTGAAGACATCTGGAGAACCTGTCTCTGCTGCTTTGAACCTCGTCCCTTTAGCTCATGAATCGTTATGGTTCTTGCTATTAAAATCATACCAGTAATAGTGCAAATATTCGTGGTGTCCTCCACAGCTTGGAAGCTCTTAGCAGCAAGGTCTTCCAGGGCCGTTGCTCCATGAACACATTAATCTGAATAAATTTGTCTTACTTTCTGGAAAATAACCCCGCAGTTGCTTTCCGAAAGCGACCAGAGCTTGGAGCGCGCTGCCGGCGTCCGCACACAAACTCGCTGCTCTCTAATGACCCCAGCACCATCCATTTCCATGGAAACTAATAGGGATCAGTGCTGCTTAGCCTTTGGGCAAGGTTGGACGTGGAAACATTTACTCCAAAGCCTGAAGCCCAGCAGGTGAGCCCTGCATCGCCCACCCACAGCTTGTCCAAAATGATGCTCTTCTTGAAGAGCAACTTGAATTGCATTTGAGCTGCAGCTGGGAACGATGGTATGTTTAACTATAGGATCTTAAATTTCTTCTGATGTGTGTGGTTTTTTGGGTTTTTTTTGTTTTTGAGGAGGGGTCATGTTGCAAGAAGCATCCTTGTCGTTAGCCAGGTCTTCTCCTTGTTTCATTGACAAGTGCCAGGAAGATCCCTCCGTAGCACTGCCCTCCTTCCCTTGCTCCCTGCGCCAAAGCAGAGACCTGTTAAGAACAGTGACCTCTTGCAACTCTGTTTTCTTTGTTCTAGGAAATGCCCCAGGAGCAACAGAATCCACAGACAGAAGCAGAACACGGGGCACTACAGCTCAGACAACACAACAAGAGCATCGACAAGGTTAATTTAAAGAGCGCATGTTTCCACAATGGCAAAACTAACTGCAGAGAGCTTGGACTACAAAATACAGTATTTTAGACAAAAGATTAAGACAAGATCTACACATGTTGCCTTGCATTTGTGGTAATCTACACCAATGAGAACATGTACTACAGCTATATTTGATTATGTATGGATATATTTGAAATAGTATACATTGTCTTGATGTTTTTCTGTAATGTAAATAAACTATTTATATCACACAATATAGTTTTTTCTTTTTCATGTATTTGTTATATATAATAAATACTCAGTGATGAGAAAAATATTGGCTTTCTTAAATTTGCTGTATCTCATAGCTGTGTATAGTCTTGGGATATTGTACATGGACACTAACAAATCTCTTTTTTTTTTCTTTTTCCAGTTCTAGTGGCAATTTTGAGTCTACTGAACTCAGTAGTAGGGTTTTGAGTTGGTCGAAGATCAGCGACAATTATGGATGTGGGAAAGGTGAAGAATAATTTAACCTTCATTGAGGAGGGATAAAATATTTCAGACTCGGAGTCAACTACATTTCATCAGCCTTCTTCTCCCATATCATCATTCACTCCCCCATAGCTTAGGAAACCTTTGCTTTCTAAATTCAGTTCTCACTGAAGGGGGAATGGAAATTCTCAGCAAGTGCCATAGGAGGGCCGGGGTTCTGTTTCCATTTGGGAAGGAATTAGGTAACTGTGAACCGTAAGCAAACCTGTTGCAGAGGCTTTGCTTCCTGGGCACCGGAGCGAATGAAGATTGCTTCTTTCTCTTGATTGAAAATTATTAGGTTAAAAAAGTTAATAACGTAATAACAGCTGAAATGTCAGCACTGTTTGTACCTCATGAGCATGCTGATACCATTTATTTTTTCAAAGAGCGAGTGAAAACCACTCACAATACACCTTGTGAATGACTTTCGGGGTGACCCAACTCCATTAAATGTGATGGGACTCGAATATTGGCTGCACCTCAGGAAAATAAGGGCATGTGTTTTGTCACATCCTCGTGACGGACAAGATGCCACGCTATTCCCAGCCGAAAACCTCCTACACCCATTCCTTGAGAAGATACTATTGTTGTGGCCTGCGTTATGACTTTTGAAGACGACAGGGCTGCACCGAAAGGCCGCGTGTGATTGATAACTTCACTCGTGTCGCGTAGCAGCCGCTCCTTTTCCAAAGGACTGACGACAAAAGTCAGGATTATTTGTCACTGTCGCCATCACGCGGCAAGTTCTCTTTGGTGGCTCCATGGCCACGTGTGGTTCCGTGTGCTGCCTTGGCAGTGGCCATTGGCCATCAAAGCTGGCCCGTAGACATGGGTAAAGTCCTGCCACGGCTCTACCATGCTCTTTGCTTTGCCTCCCGCCCCACGCCTGCTCTACGGTGGATCCATTGCATGCTGCTCACCCGATCCCCTCTCCAGTCGTGTTCCTGGGTTTCTTGGCTTTTTAATGGCAATAAAGGAAGATTAGCAAGAGCTGCAGGCACCTGGTCTGTGCTGATTGCCACGGGGCATGCGCGTGGCCTCCCGTCCGGGTCCCTCGTAGCCCCTAGGGGACATTACCCCTGCAGGACGGGGATGGAGATGTGTTGAGCAAAGCCCGGCCTCGAGGCTCCTGTGGCAGCGATGCAAGTGCTTTTTTGCATGGGGTGCATGGAATTTGTTTGGGTTTCTGCGCAGTTAACAGCTTGGTCACAGCAGGAGGGCCGCTGCAAACAAAGATCCACCGAAAAACGAGAACCACAAAAAAGCAGGATTTGTGTCGAAGGCCTTTAAAGAGCGTCACTGGGCTTTGTGAACCCTCTTCAAGGGTGTCCCGAGGTCTTTGGGCATGTGGGAGCAGCGAGGAGAAATGGGTTTTATTATGGTGGTTGTAAATCAGAACCCTGCCGCGCATCTCCTAAACCTCTGCGCTGCCACCACAGCCAATAAGCAGAGCACTTGCAGAGAAATACGTACACTTTTTCTTGAACATAAAGACAAGTGAAAGCAAGGACCGTAGCTAGACCTGAATGGAGACGGGCACAAAGAAGACAAGGGATTAAGGACGACAACGTTTTTTAGCTTAAGTGTTCCATCATTATTAATTCATTTGGTGCTCTTTATGACAATACCGATCATTCGGAATTCATTTGGTGGTTATGTGGATGTCATTGCTATTTGGGTGGATAGTCCAAAGTAATTCTGCATTAATGCACTATTAAAAAATTTTACCAGCCAGTGCCTTCATTACTCCGCCAGCACGGCATCGTCTTGCTCGCCTCATCCTTTCAGCTCAGATCTCGATGTTTATTTTGCTTTTATCTTTATTATGGGGGTTTTCAAATGCGGTGCTTCTATTTAAAAATTCTCCTTATGCTACATTAGCGTTGCTTTCTTTGAGAGCATCAAAACGATGCAAATAAAGGAGGGGTTTCACAGTGATTTTTCATTTTGCTACTGAAAAAAAAAAGAAAAAAAGAACTCAAGATGTTAGCACTTTAGGAGCTGCATTTTGGTTATAGCAACCATCACTTGTTGCTTAGCAACAGCTATAGCATCACTTACAGTAGGTTCGGTGCAAACGCGTGGGTAAAAGTGCACGTTGCATCTGCCCTCCCCATGCCCAGCTGTTTTCCAAGAGCCGGCTTGGAAAAACAGGGCACCAAAAAGCCAAGTGGCTGCTGGTGTCCATAGAGCATGTGTATACACACATATATATATGTACATATATAGCTATCATATATGAATATTTTACATCCTGGATCCACGAGGTTGGCGGGGCTGGAAGGCCCAAGTCCACCCCAAGCACCGCAGAGCAAGGAGCTTGTTTAGCAGAGGTGGGTGACGTTAATGAGCAGAGCAACGCTCGAGCACATTCGCGATGCTACCCCGACCACAGCAAAACCGTGACGAGCAATCATCTCAAATTCACCGTAGTTACTAATGGAGATGACGTGCAAGTATTTGCTGAACCCGCTCGGTGGAGAAAATCTAATTATCTGCTTTTTAATCTGGCCCTTAACGTCTCAAATCACCTGGCAACCTCCTGCATCATCCCTGAGGCAAGTGGCTTGAGCTCAGCCTGGCCAGAGGCAGGGGCTACTTTCTTTTTTTTGTTGTTTTTTTTTTTATTTTTAAACTCTTCATTTTTATACAGCCAGTGACCTAGGGATGATTCAGGTGGGGAGGGACATTTACCTGTTTTCCTGTCCTCTTGAGCTGCTCTGGCTCTGCAGAACTATCCCTGGGGCCACCTGGTCCTTGGCAGGTCCCTGTTGTTATCCATGAGCCCCGTCCTGACAGGGCACTTCCATAGGAGCCCAGGGATGCGCATCCAGGGGCTGCTCCCGCACCCTTTTCATGCCATCTTGTCCCATTGCCGCCGCTAACCAGAACTCGGGTTGACGTCGTTCCTCCTTGCAGACATGGGAGGTACCGAGGTACTCACAGAGAAATCTAAGCAGCAGCTTTTAGAGGATAATGATCTACTCGAGCGAGTACCAGCCTGGACATGTCGTATCCGTAGTGCTCCGCTTTGCTCCACGCCACCATCTCCCGCCACGTTCCCAGGCAGTGACAGGCGCCTCGCTCCAGAGCTCCATCCCTTACGGCTCAGCTGGAGGAGCCTTGAGCCAAGACCCTCCCTCGCGTTCGACCAGAAACACCAGCAATGAAGGGGGGAAACAAATCCTGCCTCCCCGTGCAATCCTCAACATGAAATGAGGAAAAAAAAAAAAAAAAAGGGGGGTTTTTTTCAAGCAAACCTGGTAAAAATCAAACTTCCAGAAAAAAAAAATCTTTGCGTTGGAAAAGGCTTTTTTCCCACCAAAAATTTAAAAAATGCATAAATAAGTAAGTAAAGGTGGAATAAAACTGCATGGAGTGGACGTGGGCGGGGCTGGGCTGTTCCGGCCACAGGAACGGGGCAGAGGAAGGGAAAGGAAGGAAAAGTGGGTGCGGACACAGGCAAATCCTGGCGTCCCTTAAAAATACGTGCATCCCAGCCAGGGCGAGAGCAAAACCAGCGCAGTTTCACTTAGCTCTCTCCCCTGCATACTTTACAGGCTTAGCATACTTTCCTCCTCATCGGCCCCGGCAGGCTTCGTGGGTTTCGTTTTAAGTGAATTTACTCACTCAATATATTTTTCAAGCTCTCATGACTCGAGAGTGTGAGAGAGAGAAGTTGCAGTCTGGAAGAAAACAATAGCAAAACATAAAATAAAAGAAAAATCAGGGAGTAGCAGGAACCCTGCAGGCTATGCAGGGGCTGGGGAAGGGTCACTCCTTTGCATTACTCTTATGCCATTCAAAACCCTATTTTTAATGGTCAGCCTGTGCAGAAAAGCAGGAAGGGGTAGTGAAAGGGTCTCGCGTCCATAATCGCAAATCGCTTTCTCCAGGCGTCAGCACCAACACTTGGCGCGCTATAAGCCAGATTTTCCACAGGATTCTGCTGGGAAAAAAAAAAAAAAAAAAAAGCCCTGCAGTTCGCTCCCGCTGCTGGCCGGATTTGGCGGTATCTCCTGCCATCTGCTGCTGGTTACAAGATCGCCCGCTGCCTCTTAGGGCACCGCAGTTTTCACCTTTCCCAGGGAATCGCAGGGCCAGGAGCGAGCAGGAGCTGCGGGGCCGGGTCCTGCCTGC